GTAGATACGACACTGGGGATCGCTATGGTGTGAGGACACCTTATGTTGATATAATAATATTACTATCGTGTTCGTTTAAATTCAGTCTATTTCATTAAGACTATTTGTCCATGAAATAATTAGGAAAGGTAAATAACTACCATGTAAAGCCATTCATGGATAATAACCTATTAGGTTATAATTATGAAGTAACGTCAATAACATAATATTAATGCACAAATTATTTGTTTGGTGTTAAATAGTGCTTAAGGCAGTCTGGATACGAATTAACTTGAAGTAGTCGTTCTGTGAAAATGTTTTGTCTGTGTAAAAAAAAAAATTCTGGCATGCATGACGATCGCTTCTATACGACATACATTAATGTTTATTTTTATATAATATTCACACACGCACATATATATATATATATGAATATTGTATAAATTAGCTCGTCAATAATTAAATTATGAAAAGCCCATTGGATACCGATAGCGTATTTTGTGCAGACACTTTTCACGTTTTAAGACATGTCATATGTTTTAATGGGTCATGTATGACTTTATACACATATATGTATATGATCCATCTTTCAGGCCTTCTCCTTAAGATTTTATGAAAAATATTATTAAAAATTCAATTAAATTTATTAAGTGTTCGGGACAGTAGAAAAAATACTCCATTTTTGTGGATATATAACAGCATCTCAAAGAATAGTATTTATAGAACAAATATATTTTCACACCATTAGAATTTGGTGAGACCACCCTGAATATCAGTTGACTAGCCGATCGAAATGTACAAACAATATTGAAGATCTATTTTGAATTAATGGGAGGAAACTCCCTTCATTCACGTCTCGATGTAATTTGATTACAATACGCTGAATATAATAATCTTATCATGTTTAACTCTCTGTATTTGTCAATGTTAAGTCAATAACATTAAGACTAAAGTGTTAGAATGGAGACACATGATGTAATTTATAACTGTCTTGAATTGTCCCAATCATGAGCTATATTTATAAAGCGTAAACATACAAAAACTTAGTCGAATATACATTGATCAATTTGACTGGCTCTTAACACCTTCTTGTATTTGACTTTTATAGAAAAACAAATAGTGAACATACAATAATGTAAATATCCACATTTAATAGTTAAAGGGAGTGGTTCACGGAACCTATCATTTCTCCGCCGATTTGTTTACAAACTTTATAACTCCCATAAAGTATTTTTAGATGAGAATTTTTCTTTAGTTAATTTGTTTCCATACATTTGTCACACGTTTAACTGGCGTCAACTTCTGTTTATTACGCAGAGATTTGTTGTAAACCTCTGCTTTGTGAATTTCACCAATGGTAATGCCTGACAGGGCTATCAATGAAATTCCTATTACAACTTGTAAATGGGTTCGTGTGATTTAGCACGAACAACCAAGAAATCTTAAAAACAGATTTACTTGCATAATATTGCTGCTGCTGTAGATTTCATGGAAATGGTTTAGATACAAATAAATTGTATGCCTCCAGCTATCTAAATGTTTCTGAAATGAACGTGACATTCGTCACAGAATTCAACCAAAGAACCGTAACTCTGCTGTAGCAAAATTTCGCACATTGAAATTTCAGAACACATTTGTTCATTTAGTTGCCCTTTCATTCTTATAAAGGTAATATTCCTTGTTCCTACGCTTTTCAACCCTTCGTATCCCTGTTCCGTATTTAGTCGCTTCTGAAACCCTTTGGCTATTGTGAGCGAATGAAACAGTAAATACTTCGACCAAGAGTCGTGATTGTCCCCACAGTTGACAGAGATATCTCCATTCAACAAGCTTAGAAATGGAACCAGAGGCCAATTGTAATTTGTCTATATTCTAATTCATATACACAATACATGTCGGCTGAACTAGATTACATATACAACTAAAACTACGTTCCCTTTAAGATTTTTGGTATTTCCAATAATTAACATACGTTTAAAAAACAAGAGAGAAAGGAGAGGTTTAGAAGTATTTAACGACATTACTCACAGAGGCCAATTCAGACATTGTTCAACTTTGGAAACATGAAGATATAGAGTTATTTTTGAATGTTTGATATCATTTCGTGTGATGTATGTAGAGTGTCTTACATTGTTTCGCCAAAGGCACAAATACTTATCCATTTTCTTAATTTCATCTTTGCAATATTTTACAATAATTTGATTTATACATTGCAATTAAATGGTGAACTTATGCACATGGAATTGCATGTTAGTATGAATTACTAAAAACACCTCATTTTCTAGGATACAAGTCATTCCTATACATTTTCCCATACATAAAGTTAGAATTTCTGGGTCAAATTAAAGTAACGTCAACATACTGTGGTGGGCTACTTTACAACGACGGAAGAAAATTAAATTAAAATCTTATCCTGTAATATGTGTGTGTGGCCATCTTGTCGAGATCGCCTGCTCGCGGTTTAAAATCCTCTACCACATTCACTTTTCTATTGTTATTTTGGTTTCCTTTTAGAATGTTGATCTTGTATAAATCGTTTTCTTAAGAATGTTGATGTCTATTTCTAAAATGAAGATTAAAATTCAGTTTGTTTTTACTACCACCAAGAATAGCAATTCCCACATTTAAAGCGTAACTGGATAAACACAGATGCATCAGATTTATGTTGTAGTTATTTATATGGTATCGCTAGGAGATTGGTTGGT